CCGGGCCGCGCCGCGGGGACCGGTCTGGAGCCAAGCCGGGCCAGAGCCGCTGGGGCCTGCGGGAATGGGCCGCGTCTCCTCGGAGCCCTTCTCGCGCCCCCACCACCCCAGCTTACCTTGTGCTGCCGGCCCGCCCCTGCTTATTTTCAGACTTCCCGCGAATCAGAGATTCGCGGGAAGCAGGGGAGGGGGCGGAGCGTTCAGGGGGAGGGGAGGAGGGGCTGGGGAAGTGAGCTGGGGGTGGGGTGGACAGCTGCAGCGCGGGGCCCTCTTGGTGCGGGGCCCAATTCAGCCAAATCGGCTGAATCGGCCTAAAGCCGGCCCTGCCTGCAGTGTGTACCCCTAGTCACTCCCTTTACAACTTGTGGTCATGTTCCGTTCTGGAGGGTCGTGGGTCTGGGGTCTTCATCCCACCTCTTCTGTACCCCAGGGGAGGGGTGAGGAGTGAGGTGGTGTTCTGGCCAAGGCCAGGCTTTTCTTTGGCTTTTAGTGTTTCTTCCTCCCCCGTCCCCCTTTGCCCCTCCTAACTGGTTGCTTGACCTTGGCTTGAGAGAGGAGCCAGGCAGCCTTCCAGTGTGTGCTCGTATATTACACTCCCACCACACCCTGTAACACTTTCTCTGTTCTTATCTGTTCCCATTATACTAACAAACGCATCTGGCCAGGCAGAAGCGACACATAGTGTCTTTGTCCTTTGTTCTTCACACACATTAGTAACGATGTCAGAGTATGAAAAGTCAAACCCAAAATTCTATCTCAGGTTCACAAACAGGCTTATATGCTAACAGTTGTGTCTGTTGAAAGTAAAGCCAAAAAATGGGGGAGGAATTTGCAAAAAAAAAGAAATTTCAAAGTTGTTTCCATTTTTCAGTGTTCAAAATGGGACTTTTAGTTTGTTTGAAAGATATCATGAAATAACTTGAAAAAAATTCACATTTCTGTTTCCCCTTTTTCCTAAAATGTAATAAAATAATGTCCATTTCCAGCACCGCCCCATTTGTTCCTTTTATTCCATTCTCTCTGGAACACTTCAAAAGTTCTCCCATTTTAGAAAAATTGGCAAAAAGGAAAATCTAGGAGAAAAAACCTGGAAATTATTCATGTTATTGAATCAGTGGCTAAAGGGAGGAAATGGGGAAACAAAGGGATAAAAACATTTGAAATTTTGAAAAAAATGTCAGCTTTTTAAAACCAAAATGAAAACTTCAATTTAAAATGAAAATAAACATTTTTGTTCATTCTGAAATTTCCTGTCAAAAAGCTGATTTTTATTTATTTATTTGCAAAAGACAGTTTCCCATGGAAAAAATTGTTTTCTACTAAATCGCGTTTTCCTACAGGACATTTTTGTGGTTGAATTTCGACCAGCTCTAGTTGAAAGACTAAAGGAGAAACTACTGTTAGCTAAACAAATTACACTCACATTATCAATGGAAATATCTGGATTATTAAAACTCTTTCCTTAATGCTCCATTTTCCTGTTTATACTCAATTAAATCAGAACAATGAGAATAAATAAGTAACAAC